CTTGGGGGATATTATGTTGCCCAATAAAACTAAGGAGAAGGGGTTGGGGGATGCAGCAAAGGGCTCAGCCTGTTACGTGGAGGCAGGGTGCAACTTTCAGTCCAGTCTAACTTTTTCACGGGGGGTGGGGGTGAGGGCTGGATACTCAAAGTTTCCAAGTAAAGTTCTGAATACTCTGACTTCCCTTTAAAAAAAATTTGGTATTGGGAGAGAACTACTAAGCCACCTGGTTCTTAGCAAAAAGTGAGCCTTCTCCAGAGAGGCTGCCTCACCTTTGCAAACACTTCTTTCCAAGTTTGCAAAAATTGTTTTTGGAAGAGGCAGGGCAGCCTTTTCCTGCACTGACTTGATCTCCCGACTTTGAGTGGCTGCTTGACACTTCTAAACATTTTTCCCGAAGCCATTAAGCCTCAACAGCCACTAAGCCAGGAAAATCTGGCTTTAATGTTAAACATATTTCATAGTCACAGCCATGCCAAAAAGCCAGGTTCCATGTGTAAACTCTTCCTTGGTTGTCCTCCAAAAACGACTCATACTAAGGAAAATACCATCTATATGATCGCACCAGCGAGCATAGGATCCTATGCTTCCTTTCAACCTATGAGTGTATAACAGCTTAACGTTGGTAAGTTCCAGAAAAATAAAAGTTTCTTGCTAAAAACCAGAAATTGTCTCAAAATACCAGAGCAGAGCCCCCCACTAGCTCTACAAAGGTCTGTGGGATCAGGGATTTTGTTTGTTTTACACGCAATTGCTCCAGAAAAGCTTTGCTGTTCCATTAGTAGGGCTGGGAACAGAGCCTGCTGGAGGGGACGCCACACACGTGTGACGCGATGGGCCCGTGCACACATCTGTCCTCTGCTTGATTGCAACACCCTGAATTGTTTGGTCTGAGTGTGTTGTTTCTCATTCAGAGATCTGCAGAATCTTGTTTAATTACAAATGCTCGGCAATTAGGCCAGGTGCTTGTGATCACACAGCTGCTCCTAAAATTCCCCTATCAGCACTAGAGACCTTGAAGGGTGGCAGGAAGGGTACAATATCAACCACAGTGTGTCTCACTGATGCAATAGGAGTGCAAAAATAAAGCTGTCTGCAGAAACAGCACAGCAACAAAAACCTCTTAACTGTGTGGCCTGGGACAAGTGACTAACCTTCTCTGAACTCTGATCCCCTATTAAGACTTCAGGGCCTCGTTCATGGTTGGGATTAAACACATGGTACACTACATGAGCAAAACATATTAACTGTGACATCCAGTCTCACTTCTAACTACAACACTTTGCTTGACTGAGGAAACAAAAGCTCTAAGCCATGATTCCAACCTTGGCTTTAGCCATTCAGTTACCTGTATTTCCCAAACAACTGTGTGACCAGGTTTGAAAAGAGGTAACGTCATTTATTTTAAAATGCAGTGTGTTGAGGACCTTTCTCCTTTATTTAGCTGGAGTGATGGCTTTTCATTTCTATCTCATTTATACCCCACTTTGGAAAGTTCAAGCACTTTCTGAACTGCTCATTTACCCCTCTAGGCCTAGAAGTCAGTGCCCAGGAGCCAGGTTACAGAACAGGCAGCCAGGCTGTGACAGGTGGGATTTGCAAAACAAAAGAAAAGTGCTTTTTGATGAAGTGAGTAGACTGGACTAACTCCTGTTATCGTTAGACATCAGCAAATACACTGTAGCAAACTCTGCATATAAAATCCAGCCCAAGAAAACCTCTGGGTTACTAATGCAGGTTTGCAAATATAGCAAGCATAATGAAATGGATGCTTTTTAATGATTTCCTATAATGGTGTTTATATATGGAAGCTTTTTTCCCTATTGAAGCAATTTAATTGGAAAATGGCAAAGGAATAAGAAGAGGCAGCCAGCCAGTTCCGATTAACACACACAATGACTGTCTCTGTGCTGCAGCCTTACTGCACTTCTCAAAGTTGTCCCCAAGTGCTTGCTGTCCTCAGGGACCTGGCAGACCTTCTCTGCCCAGAGCAGCCTCCCCCACCTGCTTCTCTCCCATTTGACCCTTGCATTTCCACTGAGCTGTGACTTCCACAAAGTCTTCTCAGGGTTCTGCCTGAGGTTACATGAAGGTTCTCTGCAGGCCTCCTGGGTGATCCTGACCCCACTGTGGGTCTTCCCTGCTGACCTGTCACCACATTCTCCAAAGAACTCTGAGCTCCAAGGTGGTGTCCAGTCCTACTCAGGGATTCACTCCAGTGCCCCCTACGTGTGGGCACTGTTAGCCTGGCATACAAGGTTGCTAAGCTCCCCACCAGCATGTGCGTGACAATGAGGGACTAAATGCAAACACAACTAAGTGCTGCGAGGGATGGGTGTGCCTGGAGCGAGTGATGCTGCAGACCTGAAGGAGTCAGGGAGACCTGGGCAGAAGACAGTTGATTGATGGAGGGAAAAGCCATGCACGGACTCTTGGAAGGAGCAGGGAGAGAATGCAGAGCCTGCAGGCAGGAGAAGGGACAGTGAGAAAGAAGGCCAGTGTGGCCAGAGCTGGAAGACAAGGAGGGCAGTAGAGGCAGGAGCTTCAGGCCCTGGTGATGTCACTCCAGATTTGAGGGAGCCTGTGGGAGCCAGTTGTACAATGGGGGAATGTGTCTTTAAAGCACTTGCTGCTGCCTGGATTGCTGCTAAGACCAACACCAATTCACAACCCTAGGATTCCCCTCTTCTCATTTTCTCCGTACATGTTTGGCTGACTGGTTGGTGGATTGGTTGACTGCTTCATTCATTTATCGGTTCCAACAGGATCTTTGAACATATGTCACGTGCCAGGCTCTCATTGGCTCCAGAGTTACACTAACAGATGAACAACCACATTTCTGCCTAAAAGAATTTAGTGGGAGAGTCAAATAGCGATATGATTTAAAATTTCAACGTCATATGAGAAGGCAACAAATGGGGCAGCGACAACGTCCGCATAGTCACATAGATTGGGGCTTCCCGAGACCTTCTGAGGAGGCACATTTAAACTGAGACTGAAATGGTTCGAGGCAAATCCCTGCCACTGGCTCCTGATGGGTCCGTTCCTCAGCTGGTGGCCCCCAGGGCTCCATCAGGCTCACTTCTCACTCTCTGTGCATCCACTTCTACTGCTTCAGTGACCAACTGCAAACAACCTGAGGTCCAGAACTTTCCTCTTCACTTCTTATCTCAGTGCCTACAGCCTTCTGAAGCATCTCCATCCAAATACCTCAAGACACCTTAAACTCCTGCCCAACAAAACACATGATCTCCACCTGTTCCCCCACCCTCCTCTACTAGCAAAACAAAACAAAACTCATTGCAAAACCAACTGGTTCTCTCTGCTAGACTCCCCATAGTGGTGAGTGCCCCACCATCAACCACACCAAACTGTGAAAACCAAACCCTTCAGGGACACCCCTGCACGCACGCACGCACGCACGCGCGCGCACACACACACACACACACACACACACACGTCTGCCTTTGCCCTATTTTACTCCTGCAGCAAATCTTGCCAAATTCTCACCTTCTCCATATCCATTTTCTTTTTTACATCTCAACTGCCACCACCCTAGTCCTAGCAATAATTTTGCCCCACTAGATTTTTTTAATAGTTTCCTAGCTGACCTCCCTAATTTACCTAGATCTATGACTCTTTTTCCGTACTGGAGAGGGACTGATTCAAAAATATAAATCCTATCATCTCACCTGCTTCTTCCACTATTGAAATCTTTCAGTCCTTCTGGTGGGTCTCTGGGAAAAGGCCAGACTTTCTAATGGTGTGTACAATATCCACACTGTGTGCCCCAGCCCACCTTACCTCAATGGTCTTTCCCCTCCTTGAATGTACCCCACCTGGAGGGATGTCATCTCCTCCTTTACCTGCTTAATTTCTACTGATCCTCTGCATTTCAGCTTACCTGTCACTTTGCAGAGAAAGCCTGGAACCCTGGGCTGACTCAAGATTTTTGATACAGTCACATGATACCATGTTGTGTGAATGTTTGGGGTATTATCACACATGTTTAGGTTGATAATTAAACATAAATGTATACTATTTAGATAAAATCTCACTCCCCAATTAATTTTAAGTCCCATGAAACTCAGTATACTTTTCTTCTCCTGATCCTTCTTCCATCTCCCACCTCCGTATGAGCGTTTCCTAAGACATGGGGTGCCTTCCTCTTTTGGCTCCACATCATGTCAACCATGGGATCACTTTAGCTCAGTTGACTTCAAAGCCTCTACCTTCAATTTCAATCCAGGCAGGCATTTCTGAGTGGACCAGTATTGTACAACATTTTGACTGCAACTCAGAATAGTTCATTTAGCAACTTACTACACAAACATATGCAATACACAAGTTTCATGAAACAATCCTGTCTCTGTTTTCATTTCCATGAGACCTTACTTTTTCATATAATTTCAGGACCCAAAAGTGGGTCATGACCTGCAGTTTAAAACTCGATGTGCCAGATATTTCCACATGGACATTGCTCTACACTCTCAAACATACTGTGACCATTTCTCATCTTATTTCTCAATTTAACTTCCTTAACCAAGGAATGTGATCACCCTCTGAGTCACTGAGGATCAATGTGCTGAAGTCATTTTGAACTGTTCCTTCTTACCCAAGAGTTGTTGAGACCTGCTGGGCTTCTTCCACTGCAAAGTGCTGCCACCCATGTCCCTCCTTTCCACTCATACCATCATAGTTCAGTTACTACTTTAATGTGAAACACTCCAGTGGCCTTTTTAATAGATTCCCTGTTTCCTGAATTTCCAAACATAGGTGACATATGCTTGAATCATAATCCTATCAGGGCAGAAGGCTAATTCAGCTCTTCAGTTGGATTTTGGCCAACGAAGTAGTGAGTAAGGGACTGAACCTCTTCATCTACACAGCAAACTCCTTGGGGAATTAAATTTTTAACTCAGGCTGCCCTGTGTTTCTCAGATTCCTTTCACCATCCAGAAACCCAACTCTGGTGTGGTGGTGGGGGCTGGCCGACTCACCCATGTCAGCAGTGACCATGGTGGACTGGTTTTCAGGGATGGAGACAGAGGTCTGGTCTTGGTCCATGCTTCGAGAGTCCTCGTTGACCTCGTGTTGACTCTGACTGAGCTCAGATCGCAGTTCCGAGTATTCATCTTCCTCCCTGAGAAAAAGGAGAGTCAGCCACCACCAACAGAGTATGTGAGCCAAGTCCCTAGAGTATATGTCTTTTAAGGACAAGGTGAAGACATGCCAAATGGAAAGATTTCTCTCATCCAGTGCACAGGGACCAGAATTCCTTTCAGGCCAAAGAGATGGCCATATCTATGGTCAGTCAGTGTGTGAAGCTGAAATGTTGCTTCTGTGCTCACATTCATATCATGTTCAGAACAAAATTGTCTATCTGCCCACTAGAAACTTCCCTCTTCAAAGATTTCCCAAAGAAACTAGATTTATTCACCCTCTCAAATTTCAAGGTAAAAAATAAACTATTAGCATGGATGTTAGAGTAAGCAAAATTAAGAGTCTGATGAAGAGCAGCACAGCCATCACTGGGAAGGTCCCACTGGGAGCTTTCTTCTTGGAAAAGGACGTGGGGGAGATGCTGGGGTTAGAGTGACTGAGAACTCATCTGTTCATCAATGCAGAGCAAATCAGACCTTCTGAGAGATGTACAGATGAGCACATCTAAGGACCACAGGTTCCTTCCCCAAAGAAGGTAGGTGGAGTTAGGGGATGGGAAAAGAAGACAGGTGAGGAGAAAAATGCAAACAGTGAGCAAAAGAATACCATGCGGTGTTCTTTTCTCTTCCACTGCATTTGCTAACAGAAAGGCAATGCTGAAAAGCAGCCCTGTTTCATTTGCATGTGCACACCCACCTCTTTTCAGTCCTTCACAGATCTTTCAACCTCCGGTCTCTGAATTGCACTATTAGCAAGGTGAGAGATCTTAGACTTTTAGTGTGTATTTGAAAGCACACACTTTGCCCCTCTCTGTATTTCACTACCACCATTTCCACATGCACACTGGGCACTGGAGAAAGCAAAAGTGACTGTCTTTGAAGTGTTTATTTTTCAACTGTACAGGGAGAGAACATCATCACGAGATGGAAGTGTGGGAGGGGAAAGCTCACTGGTGTCTGCTCAGTCCCAGGGAAAGGGTGCTGTGAAGAAAGCTAGGAAGAGAAGAAATCCATTCCTTTTGAGTAGCCACTAATGGGGAAGGGGTGTGTAGAAAATCGACAATCTTGAGTTTGGACTAGATCAAGATGGTGAGCAGTCACCTCCAGTGCTTGGGGGAGAGGCAACTGGGGAGACACATTTACAAGTCAGAGAAATGGGAAGAGTTTGCCAAAGTTCTTGATTCTCTCAAGATATCAATATTCTTGCTGGACATAGTGGTACATGCCGGTAATCCCAGAAGCTTGGGAGGCTGAGGCAGGAGGATTGTGAGTTCAAAGCTAGCCTCGGCAACTTAGTGAGGCACTTAGCAACTCAGTGAGCCCCTGTCTCTAAATATAATATTAAAAAGGGCCAAGAATATGGCTCAGTGGTTAAGCACCCTGGGTTTAATCCTCAGTACCCCCCAAAAAAAAAGAAAGAAAGAAAAGAAATCAACATTCTTCCAGGAAATAGATTTGGGTGCATATCAAAGAGTCCCTGCTTTATAAAGTATTTAAATAAAAGCCATTCAGAAAACTAGGAAGAATTTAAGCAGATGTAAAGCCCCTAGCCATGCCAAATATGAATGTGAATGGGAATAGTGAAGGCAAAAGATAAAGGTTAATGATATATGAGCGAGTTCATTATTAGACATCTTCAGAAGTCAACAATAATTAGATTTAGGAAAGAAAACAATTAAAAAGTACTCTTCAGAGTCACCTTTTTGGTCTAGAGGACAACTGTTTGTGCACTGATATGTCAGCTCTCCTTTCAGTCGCCACTTAAGATTCTAATTTAGTTAACAGGAGATTGTGTATGATGAATAAATTCCTTTTATTGCATGACCAATGTAATCAGCCTCAGCTTGGCTGAGACTGTTTTATAGCCAAGAAAGTGAGTGATAAATGGTGCTGCTGTTCCTCGGGTATAAATGGCATTTGCAAAACTCTTTAATAGACACCTTAAACCCTCCTGGCTTGGCAGATTCCAAAACATACACTTCCTGCCAAATCTCTTGCTTTGTGCTAAATTACTTCTAGGGATTATTAGGATGAACTTTACAAAACAGCAAATAGGGAAGGGGTGGAGGAAGGAAGCCGTCATCCTAGCACCATCCCCTCTGAGGTCAGAATGTGGTCAGAAGGAGAATAATAATACACTGGTGAAGCCATTGCAGGCTGGCAAATTTTAGTGACATGAAATGCAAACTAAAGATATCCATTCAATGTATTTGAGCACTGAAAATAGGATACGAAAGGAAGAAGAAAACAAATACGCTTGCAATCAATTCTTAACCTAAGAGGGCTGCTGTGGGTGGACACAGGAGGAGCATGTGGGGCTGCCAGTGGGTAGGGGCCAGGGAAGACTTCCTGGATGCAGCAGCACTCCAGATGAGTCTTGAGGCAAATTCATTTTAAGCAGGTCATGAGAGCAGAAGAACACATGCAAAGGCTCAGAGGAGCTGTTGAGTCACTAGAGCTTGGTGAGGAGCAAGGTGTTTGGTGTGGCTGCAACCCAAATGGAGCATGGAAATGGAGCCTAAGGTGGAAAGGACCTCGTCAACAGGGCATTTTGATCAAAAGGTGAATTTATTGTACTGGAGGAAGCAAATGATCAGGGTGAGAAGGTAGAAATAAAATTATGGTGTGCAAAGTCTAATAATACAGAGGAAGTAGTAAATGTTGCCAAGGTTTCACGTGAAAACAGATAAAATGAAAAGAAAGAAAGAATGAGCAGAATCTCTGTGTCTTTGACTCCACAGGAAGGGCTAGCTCAGGCATACCTGATCCCAGGTGAGAATACTTCCTATGATAATCATAATGAATACTCTGGAACAAAAACAGCACATGCAAACAAAGTAAATCATAATTAAGAGGTGGAAAGCCACCTTACAAGAAGATCAGAGAAGGTTTTGTGGTACAAAGAATGAGGTACAAAATAGATTAAACTGTGCCTAAATATAAGAAGATGTGGGCAGCCCTGTTGTTTCTCACACCACTTTGGCAAAACATCATGGAGTTGCACATCTCTATCATCACCTATCAGCATACCTTGAAAGGAGGCTGGAATTTGGGACAAGGAAACGACAAAAACGAGTTCTCTCAGGGCTCTTTGTAAATTGACATTTGTGATTATATGGTAGGTGTACCAGACTGGAGATGGGGGTTTTCTCTACCATTCAAGAAAAATGGTCCACGAAGAGCAAAGGAATAGATCAAAAAAAAAAAAAAAAAAAAAAAAAAAAAACCTCTGCTGGTACAAAACTCATGGTACAAAGACAAAATCCTGAGTTATGCATTCAAGGGATTTTCTGCACAACCTTGAGCCACTTACCAGTGAAGGTACTTTGGTAAATTGTTCCAATTATGTCATATGCACATATGAATATGGCATAATGATCCCACTATTATGTATAATTATAATGCACCAATTAAAAAAGATAATCCCCTCAAATGACTTTACAGCTCCCTTCCTTTTGCTGTATACACATCAAGGGATAACTTATTTCTGGGCAGGGGTTTGGAGGGATGCCTTCCCCCCTCCCCACCAAATACTCACTGCTAGCTCTAGTGATGAAAAAGAGAAAAAGTGAAAAAGTCCAAAAAGTGGTGATTTTAAGAGACAATAACAGAAGCATAAATAAACTGAGAAATGTTGATAATTATACTCCATAGTGAACGTTTCATAATGATGGAATTACAACGTTCCCGAGTGTTTCTTTCTGGAACTTGAAGGATCATCTCACGGGATTCTAAATGTACATGATTTCATTGACTTGGAAGCACTTGGGAAGGGCTTACAAGTTGCTTTATTTAGACATGTAATGATCAATGCTTGCCTCTAGCTTAAACAGAAAAACACAACAAATTCTCCTAAGGAGGTGGACTCTCCACTGTGTACACGCCTGTGTGATGACCGGCAGACAGAAAAGTCTCCAGCTGACGAACCGCAAGGGGTTCTTAAAGACCAGTTAAGGCAAGATCAATACCTTCATTTTACAAATAAGACAACCCAAGTTTTGAGAAGTGAAGCGACTTTACACAGCATGATGCAACCAGTTAGTAGTAGAGCTTAAATCCTAAATTTGCTACCCATGAAATAACAATCTAATGTTGTGGCCTCGGAAAATGATTTGTTGTTGTTTTTCCTTATTTTAAAAGATTCCTTTTTATCGGCTAGAAGTGAAATGATCGAGTCAGAACAGGGAAAAGTAAATGTACCATTCTTAAAATTTCCAGACTTCAAGCTGAAGGACTCTGGAATCAGCAGCATTTAACGAAACATCATTAATAATCCTCCTATCTGCTTTATGTTGCAATGCACATTTATGCCTTGTCACTGGGTTGGAAGGAATTGGAAAGAAGACCCAGATGTTCATCCGCTTGCCTTGGCAGCTGTCAGTCAACTGTGGCTAGTGAACCCAGTCTATCTGACCTAGCGGGGTTTATTTGTTGAAACACACAAATAAACACTGTTTTTCTACAATTTAAGATGGACTTTCCCTGAAATGGCTGGCCTTCTTTTGATAAATATTTTCTTTTTAGAAATAGGTAGAAAATATATTCCTTTTAGTTCTCTCTTAAAAATCTATGGTGGAAATAAGTGAAAAGTAAAGTCTTGATTTTTCCTTTAGTTCTACCTCCTCTTCTTTTTCCATGTAACACAGAAGGAGGTCAGACTCATCTGGAGTTGTCTGGTGAATTACTGAACAAATGGGATTTTGACACCCTCTTCCACGAACATAATAACCCATCCTTGTCTCAACCAGTTCTGATACAGGATCTGTATACAAGAACTTGAAAATACTGAACAAAGGTTTATGTATACCACATAAGACAACAGGGAGAAAAAAAATTATCGTCCTGGATTTTATTTTGATTTCATCATACTGACTTTCTTGGCCATAAATTAATCAGAACAACATGTTTTGCTGGGACACGAAGAGGTTTGGGTTACACTGTGTTTGAGATACAGGATACCTGACAGTGGTTTGGGGCTGCT